GGAGTGGATAAGTGGTGTTTTCTTTTTTTTTTTAATTATTTATTATTACATATATATATATATCCTTTTTTTAAACAATCAAAATAAACTTTTCTAAATAAAATTATATTTATGTTGTTTATTTTTATATCTTTTAAATAAAATTAATGAAAATAATAAAAAGTCAAAATATATTTAATTTAGATTGATAAAATTATTTATGCTTTAAATATTGGTGTTAAAATTAAATTCAGTCAAAAATTACGTGTCTACACAATTTTTCTTCATTGCAAGTGTATTAGTGACGCGTCGCACCAGTTTTCCCCCAGGTAAACATGACAAAATTTTCCTCTCATTTTATGACGATAATTCAATTTAATTCGATTTTATTCTCAATCTATCTTTAGATTCAGATACCCAAAACACGTACACAAGAATTTAAGTCAAAAAACCTCAAATAGTAGATGTGAATATCTCAAGATACTCATCAATATCAGCCCTATTCAAGAACAAAAGCTATTTCAACAACACACATCAAGAATATCGAACTTTCAATCTTTTTAGGATGATCTCACACTAAAATATACACGTTTGTGGTGTGGGTGAACGAACCCAACACTATGTGAATTCACATACCTCGTAGCATTGAATACTTGGAGAAATCTACAATCAACTCATATGACCTTAGTTGGCTTAGGCTTATACACCCCTACACATTCTCATATTTCCCTACCGGTGATCTCTAGAGTCACACCTTAGCATTATGATAAAATACATCATAAATAGTGGGACAACCAAGCCATAACTAATATTATATCAAACTCCATCATATCTAGAATAACCAAATCATCCTTAGTTTAAAAATCAATAAATAGGACATAACAAGCATGCTAGACGTGGGTGACTATGACAGAATCTCCAACTATGATGTAAACATAGATGGGTGCATCAAGCACATCACAAACCACATCAAATTCCAAGGCTGACTTAGTAATATATTAAATTAACAGAACCCAAAGCAAACTAAATAATAGCCATTCCAGTCACATACAAGAAAAGTACATGAGACACTACATCAAACACCTCAGCCTCGGTCTTGCCCGGAAAGCTATAAAACTAAGCCCGATCATCTTGACTTGCATCATACTTCCTTTGATTCACTAATCCCCTACCTTCATTACCATTTCCCTATATTCCACGTCCTCGATGATTCCTTACCCTCCCACCTTATGGACATCCACTGCCATTCATATTGATGCTCGCTGGTACCAGTACTTTGGTGTGCTCCTGCACGGGGAAAGGCATGCGCTGATGGGAACAATCTCTCCTCATATGCCCAAGTTCGTTAAAGTGAAACAATTGTGGTCAAAAGATGGCCTAGTTTCACATGGAAATGCGACTCCCTGACTATCTTGAATAGGATTTTGTCTTGTAGTTTCCGAGTAACCACATGAAGAAGCGGAAATGGCTGTCTGAATTGGCCATGGTGGAATTTCCGACCTACCTGAACATTTAGATTACGAACCATGAAAGTTATCAATGTTCATGGGATTCATAGCCGCTTGCCCATCACATCAAAATCCTTCAATTCTCTTCACGAAGTCTATCACCGAATTAAAACTTTTATCGGCATAGGTCATGTAAGCAAAAAGTACTTCTAACTCAGAGTGGAATCCGTTGACAAATACATGAATCCTCTCATACAATGTAGTCATTAACTTTGTAGCATATCTAGACAAGGCATGGAAGTTAACCTCATAAGTAATTAGAATCATTCCACCCTACTACAGGGATATGAACTCATCCTGCTTGTGATCCTTTAATGTCTACACACATACTGCTCTAGAAACAAAACATGGAACTACATCCAAGTGAGTGGGGCAAGACTCATGATTTGAATTCCACATAGGCCCTCCACTAATGTTAAGCATCAACCTGAAGCTTGAAGGTCATGAACTCTAGTCTATATTTGTGTACAATGCCTAACTAGTGAAGCCTCTCATTCAAATATAGAATAGACTCATAGGCATCCTCCCTATCAGAATAATAGAACATAGATGACTTCAGCATCAGAAACATTGTCAACATCTTATTCTCATTAACAATCACTACATGACCCAATAGGGGACATAAAAAGGCATCAGTACCTAATGCTCCATCCACCTTGGTACAGTAGAAGTAGTGGAGTGGTTGACCAGAGGTTGAGAAGCTTGCATTGTGGGAAGATTTCCATAACCGACTAACCCTTTCAAAAAATTCCTAATTTGCTGAGCTATCACTAGGTCTAAGGGAGAAAGACTTGTTGTTTCATCCCATGCTTCCTTCTCTGTTGCAACACTCTCCTAGTCTTTGATTTGCACATTCTCATCCACCTCTTGTTTGGGTGCATGAGGGGAATCTTCTTAGGGAACATTCCCAATTGAGGCTCCACCCCTAGCGGGTGCTACCCTTTGTCGACCTCTTTCCCTTCCTTATCCTCTATCCTTATGTTAGCCACGTCCTTTTCTGCAGGCTCTTCTTCTGGCTCATTAATAAAACCTACAAGCCTGACATCGTTATATCCTGTGCAAACCATCTGTGTACTGAAGAGGGCAAGCGATTAAAGACCATTTTAGATCACGAGATACCAATTGGAATTAAACAATAACACAGATGAAGAGAGAAGAAGACCGAGAGATTTCTCTTGAATAAAAATATAAATATCTCCATACAATTGTATAAGACTCTTCCAAAATCATTTTGGTATAATAAGATCAATGAACCTAGGGCTTGGATGTCAACCTTGTAACGACCTAGACCGTCATGATTTACATCCATAGTAACCCTCGTTTGGGGAACCACTACCACAACCAGACTAAGCAACTTAAATAAGCTAAACTATCTAAAGATACAAAAGCGGATTTAAAAAATGCACTAAGTACTTTGCTCTAATAAACTCAAAGAGTTAAAAAAACAACCAAGCTTAAACCTCGCTGAATTCAACCCCTCGACCTGAAAGTAATTGTACCAAAACTCTATTATAATGAAGTCTAAGAAAAAGAGCTACAACCCCGAATTCTAAATATTAGTAGAGTTTGAATACATAGTCTGAGTCTGAAAAGAATGGGCTAAACTAATGATGGATCCATGATAGCCTGAAAGAGTTGGTTCACCCTCACATCTGATCTTTGTCAATGATCTCCTAGCTGAGATCTATCGGTAGCAACTAAAAGATTTCTTGTTCTTAATAAAAAAGGAGAAAGTGCATTATCAATACATTAAAGAATGGTCTACTGGTAGGATAACGCAGCTTCTTCTATAAGAGAAATATATGCAGGTAACTAAAACATAGTAAACACACATATACATGATGCATAATTCAGTTATTATCTTAGGAGCCATATTCAATTTCCAAATATAAATGATAGGTACATATGAATGTAATAATCATAAATGGTACTCTCATGGAAACCCCTCCCAAACTGTTAGTGTGTCAAAACGTGACACACGATCAAATATATGTGTGTAAGAATGTAACACCCAGTCCAATGTATATGTTGTAATGTGACACTTGGTCCAATATATGTGTTTGAACGTGAAACATGGTCCAATTATGTATCAGAACGTGACATTCTTTCAAATCAGCAAAACCACAGTCAATGACACCTATTATGAACAGTTCACATGGTCACACAATTAAGTAACATGTTCATGGTATGTAATTGTTCATACATAATCATTTCATTAGGTTTGATTAAGGTTTCCTTATTCACATACGTGTATACATGCATAAAATGGAAAAATTAACAGGCATATGTAACACAACACGAAGTCAAACCATTATATACCTCGAAACAAAGCTTGAATATAATGAACATACTTGAGCCTTCCCTTTCCCGCGTATTGCAAATTCTTCTTGGTCTTAAACAATTAATTAATGCAAGAACAATAAACAAGACCTAATTTACCCAGAAAACATCAACCCAAGAAGAAGTTGCATTACCAGTGAAAGGGACATTAACGAAGAAGAATTTACCCTGCCCCGGTGGCTTGTACGAACACCAAAAGTTGGAATTACAGTTCCAAAATCCTATTTTGCGACACACCTTTGAACTGTGATGTTCTAAAGCTATCCTTTCACACCAAAATCTATTTCAGGAGTTGTACTCGCCCAAAATCAATTCTTTGAAGCGATAAAGGCTCCTTAGTGTGTTGGCTATCCGCTCATATGATCAAACTCATAATTAATTCTCCCATCCATTACCTTATTGCCCTAGAACTCACCTCACTCATATTTTTTCATTACCTGATAGACCTAGACCTCACCTAACTCATGTTTCGTCCAAGTCTAGCGTAGGAGAGAATTTTTCTAATCATTGAACAGATGTTATTTTGCACAAATTCCTTCCTCATTGGCTTTTCCATACCGACAGGAACAAGTTATTACAATTGATCATCTCCTAATATTTTTTTAATTAGTCATATGTTATACACTTAATTATTAGGGCTTTGCCTTAATTTATTACCATATTTGAGTTTTAGTTTTACCTTGAAGGAAAATTTAAGCATTAGCATAAATGTTTCAACTTATTTTGAAATGAAAATTTAATGTTCCTCGATTTTTGAGTTTTTCTTTCGTTGGAAGAAAAGTTTGGAAGTCTATAAATTGAAAACTTCTCTTCTTATATAAAGAACACAATAGAATCCACAATGTAGTCATTTAGAGACTTTTGTTTATCGGGAGATTCTCTCTCTACAATTAATTAGTTTTTTAACTTTTTAATATGTAGGACAATCCTCCAAATTCCATATGATAATATTTTCATTTTTAGTAGAAGTTTCTATCCGAATAATCGATATCATGATTTGCAATTGTAAACTTACGCATGACGCACTAATAACTTTCAAGCTTAACCTTAATATGTTCTAGAGGGAGTTAAATAATGGTTATTTTTATGTTTATCTAGACAGTATATAAACTATTATCATGAGAAGTTACTTTTGTCAAAGAAGTATCACAATCACGAAAGAAGTACGGATCATAATGAAACACAAAGAGGTCCATTTTATTAGGATGTAAATGAGGAATGACATTTTTCCTTCATAACACATGGAAGTGTTTTATTGGTGTCATCGATGCTGGATGGAATTATTCCAGTTCCATAGATTAAGGGAAAACCTCAATAATAGATCTTAATCCCAACATAGGAATGATGTTGTAGTCACTAAAACCAGCACTGCAGAAGAGTTTTGCCCAATCTTGTTGATTTCTTTCCTTTCCAGAAACATGAACCATCATGAGCATGTCAAAAAAAAGTTGAGTTTCATATGACTTGCCGTCTCCTTTCTCTATTTTACGATCCATTAATACCATATCAATAATGATCACCTTCCCTCCCTTTTCCTTGCTAGGAATTGCTTTTTTGCATTTCTTCAATATTTTGATGCATTCTTCATCACTCCAATCATGTAATACCCACTATTTAATGATCATTAGTCATCAAACAAAAATATTCAGCACAAGTAACTTTATTTATATAGTGAAAATCAATATTTGTATTACAAAAGTACCTTTAGTAAAATTGCATTGGCAGAGGGAATGAACTTAAACATGTCTCCTCCCACATAGCATAGGTTTTTGCTTCCTTCACATCCTTCAATTACATGTGGAAGATCAAAGACGATGCAATTCATTTCACGAAATGCATCCGCAAGAACTTTACCCACGATTCCAATGCCACCTCCAACATCTACCAATGATTTCAATCCTTCAAAAACACCCTTACAATTTTTAATCAACACACTTATTACCAATCGGGAATCACTAGCCATAATTTCATTAAATTGACGGTTAATATTTGGTTGTGTCTCATCATATTCAAACAGGGGTTTGCCATGAGAAATTGCAAATGGAGTACTGGAGTTGTCATGATCACTCCTAATCCATTTGATAAGTGAGTGCCATGGATCCATGAAACTTTGATCTAGTTCCGTTTGTACAAAGGCGACTTGACTCAAAGGCTCATCTTTAAGAAGGAGACATGAAGCTGGAGTAAGTAAATAACCCTCTTCTTTATCATTAACCTTTATTTTATTAAAGAAGCCACCATGAATTAGAATACGCATGAGACGGAAGATATAATCCAAGGTCTTAACATTATTATTGATGGGGAGAGCATTCACCAAATCAGAGAGGGTCATGGCTCGGCCATGAGAGTGGATGATATCTGGAATTCCAAGTTGAATTGCACATTTGAGTGACATGGAGTTGATGTAACTAAATGTATGGTTCCATATGTGTGCCTGAGCAGCCAGTATTTCTCTAGTGTTGTCATTAGGCAATGCCATAGTTGTGAGATTTTAGGAAAAGATAAAACTGCCTGAGATAATTGGGATACAAGATTATGCCATAAATATAACAAGAATGAGAGGACCACCCTTATTTAATGTATGAAGATTTCACTGGTTGTATATAATCTAATTATGCTTTCTTCATTTCTATTTATGTCGTAAATATTTATTAGATATGCAGTTTAAATTTATTTATTTTAAACTAATTAATAATTTTAAATGAGTAATAAATATTTCTTATACCAGCTCATTTTTAAATAATAAAATTTATATTTGTAAATAACGAAATATTGAATATTCTTTTTGGCTTTCGGACTATCAAAAAAATTATCTCAGGTAAATATAAAAAATGCTTCCTTCTATAGAAGACAAATACATATAATAAAAAATGCACTGTTGGTCCCTAAGGTTTTGACTTTTCTTTCTGCTTCATTAATTTGCCCTTTGACAATTTATATTGTGATACCTTCACATCACAATGCAATTGATTTCTTTTCTAGTTAGGCTTTATAGATTTTTTTTGGTCAAATATTTTAATAATTTATGACATTTAATTTATACTGTAAATGTTTTGTCAAGCATTTCAAGATGTTTATAAAAATCTTGTTTTTTCAATTTTTATAATTGATTAAACTAAAATATACTAATTTCAAAAATAAAAATCATTTATTTTTCATAATATTCGTGAAGAACATATATTTATTGATTTATATATTTTAAAAAGTCAATGGATATCATAAGTATTTAATTTATAAAATTTCTTATTTGTTTAATATATATTCGAGTTTGAGCTATTTTTATTTGATCAGATTTAATTGAGATGTGAAGGTATAAAGTTCTTTGTTGCTCATAAATTCCATTAGATTTAAGAAATTCCACATATATTTTCTTATTTCTTTCAATTTACCCTTTGATTATTCTCATTTGGTGTCAAAGTATTGTTTAATTTTGTGAAAAGTCTTAGAATTTGGCTCTATTCATAAATTTCATAAAAAGTTTTGGTTTGATTTTTTGTTTTTGATACTAGATCATTGTTTCCATGAATCTTTTAAATATAAATTTAAAGTAACATAGAGTCGTAGAAGTGAAGTTGGTGTTACTTAGTTTTGAGGTTTTGAAAGAGGATCATTTTATTGAGGAGGGATTCGAGATTAGTAACTATTGAGGTTCGTTTCTATGTCAAGGGAATATAATCCTATTTTTAAAATAAATTTGGAGATGTTTGAATGAATTCTTGGTGAAAATACGTTATCAAATGCCTCGTACTGTTGAATTGTTTGACCAGCTTCAAGGTGTTGCAGTGATTTAATTTTGAGGATTTATTTGAGAACCTGTTAACATCAGCTAGGGATTAGGGCAGTAGACATCCCTTAGACCATATTTAGGACACGTTATGGCCATTGTGAGTTTCTAGTTATGCCAGTGGTGTTTATTTATGGACATCATGGTGCATATGTTAAGGTCATACAGTGATAACTTCGTCATTATGTTCATTGTTGACATTTTAGTATACTTGTGGAACAATGGATTGCATGAGAATAATTTAAAGCTGAGGTAATCTCAATAAAAAGTGGATCCTACATTCAATCTTCATTTCAAGTTGAATTTCACAAGGGGGCTTAGAATTTACCAAGAATCCTTAAGATATTCACAACATGTCCTCCTAAACTAAAATCAATGATTTGAATCTAATGGAACCAATAGAATTGAATTATGAGGATCTCTTCTTGATATTTTGACTAATGTCAACCGCTTAAGTTTTAGAATCTTCAAAACACATAATCTTGCAAAAAAAATAAATGAACTACCAAATAATTGAGTACCAGTCGTCGTAAATGAACCGGGGCCTCTATTAGAATGCTTTAAGCAACAAAAATATGAAATTTAAAAAATCAGTTATCTGGAGGATCATTAGGACTTTTTCCTGCTAGCTCATTTGGTCGCAGATTCAAGGTTTGGTCATAGTACCCATTATACAATAAAAAATTCAAGATCTGGACACTTGATATTCAGCATTTGGGTATCATTATCCTCTATTTGAGTTCATACCTAATTACATGATTGGTTATTTTTGGTGTCTTATACATAATTCGAGGTATGGGCTACACAATATCTTTCTGGATTCACCTATGATAAGTCTTAATTCTCCCAGGTGTTTTGATGATCTCCTCACAAATGTAGGGATCAGGTTCTCTTAAGAGTATGTTTATCCACATCTAGAAAGTTGTCCGCGTTAGAAGTTGATGAAGTTGTCAGTGTACTACATCAATAAAAGGGACGTGATTGTTTTGCCAATGTGTATTAACTCTTTATGATTTATATATTCAATATGAAAAAAAAACAAATCATTAATTCATGCAAGAGAGATATTCAAGCTTCAAAACTTCAAGTGACTTTATAGACTGCCTAAGTTCTTCCTAAACCAATTGTTACGTTGATTGCTTGTATTTGTGCTTAAATTGTAGTAATGGTTTCGCTAGTGAAATAAAATTTTCAACCTTGGGTGAATCATCGTAAGAACTTAGTTGACGACAACTTCATGTATTATGTCAAATTCTATATTAATCAGTTGGATTAGTATAGTTGACAATTTAGGCATTCATTTGGATCATTGAGTGATAGAGTATAACTTTGAAAGGAGATTAAAAGGTTAATCTGGTGTGTGTTGTCTAGTAGGTTTTACTTTATCTTGGAACATTTGGTAAAAGTAGTTTAAAATCATGTGAGATAAGTTGTGATTTTACTCTTTTGAGCAAAGATGTTCTCACGTAAATTTGTATGCGCTATCACTTTCAGAATTTATTTTCTTTTCATTATAATTGTGGTAAGGACTTGGTCTTATCGTACTTAGTGGATGTACACATTCCAACAAGTGGCATCAGAGCTTCACGTTTCTATTTGAGCAACACCAACAAAACAAAAGATCCTGAATGAATGGTTGCTCCACCTAACGTGGAACAAGGTAAGCCAACCACCAGACCATCTAATTTCAATGGACAGTCTTACGGTTGGTGGAAGAACTGCATTAACGACTATATCAATGCTAAAGAAACTGAGCTGTGGGATGTGATTCTATATGGATGTTATATTCATACCAAAGACGTGATAGATAGAGAGATTAATAAGGTAATTCCAACAACAAGAAAGGAATACAATGAAGTGGAGAGGAAGAACATAGAGAAAAATTATAAAGCGAAGAAGATTCTGGTACATGGAATCGGCTAACATGAGTACAATGGAATATCTTCTTGCGAGACAGCTAAATAGATATGAGACTATTGCAAAATATTTCATGAAGCATGACATAATTAAAGCATTCTAAAGTCGATATGGTGACGACTCAATATGAGAATTTTTTTATGAAGGAAAGTGAGACTTTTCATGTGATGAATACAAGATTTACTCTAAAGAAAAACCAGCGGACTGAGATGTCTTGGTGAGCCTATTCAACCAAAATTTTTGAAAAGATTGTCGTGGTTCTTTTCAAGTCATGGGAGAGAAAATTCAATGTTATCACTAAGTAATTGATCTGAAGGTATTCACCATGGATGAGCTTATTGGAAATATACAAACCTACGAGTTGAAAAAACAGGAGGGATTAACCATGAAAGAGGGAAAAACAAGAAACCAATGGACTTAAAATATCTTCAAATGATGGGACTAAAGAAGAGGATGAAATAGTATACATCACTAAAAGGTTCCAAAATATAATAAAGAGGCATGGAGGTTTTCAAAAGAAAGGATCAACTAACAAAGTAACATATGAAAATGATCTTTATCATAAATATAGGTAACCTGTCTTTTTATGAGGGATTATTAAAGACAGAAGAAGAAAACTTGGGATTTCTAACCTCGAAGAAGGGACCAGGTCCAAGACCATCCCAAATGGAAAGCTCATGATGAAAAACTAGTGAAGATAACGGTTGTTGTCTGGGGAAATGCTTCAAGCGAATCAAAGGAAACAGAAGATAGCCATGAAGATGTATGTCAAATTCGATGAAAGTGTGTTCAAATCCATTTTTCACTAATGACAATATCTAATGAGGAAACGCTCACTGTTGATGCAGTGGTAGTGGATGCTCAAGGCATATGACTGGAGACACTCACAACCTCCTCTCTTTAGAAGCACACTAGAATGGTGATGTGTCGTTTGGAGGTGAGAAGAAGAGTTTCATTCGTAAAATTAGGAAAATAGGAAGGTCAATAGATCATTCCATATAAATATACATTATGTGAAAGTTTTAAATAAGAATCTCCAAGTGTATGTCAAAATTGCGATAAGGGAAATAATGTTAATTTCTTGTCTAATATGTGATAGGTTACTAACTCTGTAACTAACAGGGTTTTTATGTCTTCCAAAAGAGTTAAAACATGTATGTTACATATTTTAGCTTAGTAGAAGGGGGGAAACTATCATGTCTAAGTGTTCAAGATGAAAATGCAAATTAACTGCATAGGAAATAGGGACATGCGAGTTCATCCTTGCTAAATAAGATTGTTGCAAGGACCTAGTGCGTGTATGGACAAAGATAAAGTTTTCTCACAACAGAGTATGTGATGTTAGCTCAGGGGAAAACAAGCAAGATTTTCCTTCAAAACCAAGAAAGGTGTGAGCACAGGAAGACTTTTAGAACTCCTCCATACAGATCTATGTGGACATGCAACAGTTCAAAGGAGGTAAGAAATATATTCTTATAGCGGTTTATGATTTCTCATGGTTTGCCTTGAAAATTTTTTTGGGAAAAGCATGAGAAAATCAGACTACTGATCACCTTTGACAAAGCAATTCAAGTGAAGGTAAACTGTTAGATAACTTTCATTACATCTTATGATGGCACAGATGTACATTAGTGGATTTTGCTAGAACCATGTTTATTGACTCTGGGGTTGCAATGAATTTTTGGGAAGAATTGGTGAACAAATGTTGCGATGTTACAAACATGTGTCTCATTATATCTGTGATCAAGAAAACACCTTATGACTTTTTGAATAAGAGGAAACCTTCAAACGCATATGTAAAACCATTTGGCTACAAATGCTTTGTACTGAATATTGGAAAAGATGATCTTTGCAAGTTTCATTTCGGGTGTGATGAAGGGGTGTTTGTTGGATACTCTTTTGCCAACAAGGCATACAAATTTTTCAATGAAAGAACTCTATGTGTTGACGGTAGTAGGCATGTGATATCTAATTAATTTGCTGATAGGAGCAAGAATAAACACAATAAATACATTGATGTATAGGAACTAATGAAGGGTCATGTCAAGGTAATTAAAACTCCTGGAAGTGAACAACCTTTAAAGAAATAA